AAGCAAGTATTGCAAGACAACAAGCTTCGGGTCCCGCGCCTACGTCACAGTGACCGAGTGAAGCCGGCCACAGTCGAGCGTGTACCTGCTGCACTACCATATGTCAGAGGAGTCACAGACAAGGTTGGCTACATCTTGAAGCGAGCGTCTATTAAAACATACTACAAGCCGCCGAAGAAGATTAGTCAATTTTTACCATCCGTTAAGTGTAATATCCCTCTACAAGATGCAGTAGTGTACAAGTTAGATTGCGAATGTGGTCTCTCTTACATAGGTCAAACAAAAAGATCCATAAAAACCCGCGTGAAAGAACATATAGCTGACGTGAAGTACCGACGCTCCGGGAAGTCTGCAGTCTGCGAACATGTTCAAGATCGTCCCCACCATTACATTCGTTTTGATAAACCACAAATTCTCGCAAAAGAACACCGATTCCTAACAAGGATGATACGCGAGGCTATTGAAATTAAAAAACATCCAAATTTCAATAGAGAAGATGGATGGGTGCTGCCACCTGCTTGGGATCCTATAATTAACAAAATTAAACCCAAACCTAAGCGTACCACTGCAAGACTTCATGATACTATAAGCTCGTTTTGCGTAAATCGGACCAAAAATTAATATTCAAAAACTGAAGGTAGCCGGACTAACTATGACATTGGGACGTCAAACATCTCAGTCCCCCCCCCCCCGTGATCATGGTTGCTTTAAAGCACCCGAAACGTCGGGAATTAAAAATAAGTAAAAGTAGTGAAATAAACGCGATAAAATCCGTAAATTTAGTTTTATTCAATAAATTTACAGCAGTCATCAACATCACAAACCGTGGATTCAGAGACAAATAGTTTATATATTTGCAAGGAAATATTGTCCATTTAAATTTGAGATATATAGAGCATATGCTCATGGAAGATAGACCAAAAGATATTTATATGCAAGTGCTATATTTGTATGTCCAATATTTTGTTAATTAACTGGACGTAACACGTAATTATGACGGAAACATTTTATGAGGGTATTTGTTTGTATAGACTTCGTATAAATAAATAATAAATGATGAGGGAAAACATTTTGAAACCGAATAATTATATTGATTTTGGTAGTGTGTAGTAGTTGAAAGTAAATATTTTTTTTTACTTGGTTAAAATTAATCTAACATAGTACAACATAAATCAACTAAATAAATATAAATACATACAAGTGAAATATTGTTTGCGCAACGGTTACTGAATTCGTAAGTGAAAACTTCTTTAGCGGCGTTGTACACTTTTTTGTAATGGATAAAAATGTTAAACTCACGTCAGGACACGTGACCTGATCGAAAATTTGTAAGACGAAAACTTCTTTAGCGGCGTTGTACACTTTTTTGTAATGGGTTAAAATGTTAAGCTCGCGTCAGGACACGTAACCTGATCGAAAATTTGTAAGGCGGACCAAATACAAAACTACTATTGATGTGGTCTTTATTAGACATTTAAATAGGTTCTACTCAAAACTGTTCGTTTCTTACTTCAGCTATCATAAACCGATCGTATCAGCTTTAGAGATTGGTGATGATGGTTCTGGTAATAATGATGGTGAAAAAGTCGTCGAAATTATGGATGGAAGTTGATTTTTCTGGGAGATAAAATTTTTAATGTAATATAAATTGTCATTGAAATAATACTAGTTTTTTACGGAATTTATCACGTATATTTAGCTTTTTAAATACCAGACGTTTCGAACGCTTTACAGCACTCATGGTCACGGGCGGGACTGAGATGTTCAACGTCCATATGTCATAGTTAACCGCGGTTACCATAGGTAAAAATTTAACTTTTGTTCCGATCTATACAGTATGAACTTATGGTTTCTTGAAGTCTTGCAGTTGTATGCTTGGGTTGGGATTTAATTTTATTTATTATAGGATCCCAAGCAGATGGTAGCACCCAGCCATCTTCTCTATTGAAATTAGGATGTTTTTTGATTTCAATAGCCTCGCGAATCATCCTTGGAAGGAATTGGTGTTCTTTAGCGAGAATTTGCGGTCTATCAAATCTGATGTAGTGACGGGGGCGATCCTGTACGTGTTCACAGACTGCAGACTTCCCGGAGCGTCGATTCTTCACATCAGCTATATGTTCTTTAACGCGGGTTTTTATTGATCTTTTAGTTTGTCCTATGTAGGAGAGACCACATTCACAATCAAGCTTGTACACTCCTGCATCTTGCAGAGGGACATTACACTTGACTGATGATAAAAACTGACCAATCTTCTTCAGCGGCTTGAAGTATGTTTTGATGGAAGCGCGCTTCAAGATGTAGCCAATCTTGTCAGTGACTCCTCTAACATATGGCAATACAGCAGGTACACGCTCGACTGTGGCCGGCTTCACTCGTTCACTGTGACGTAGGCGCGGGACTCGAAGCTTGTTGTCATGCAAAACTTGCTTGACATGATGGAGGTGTTTACTGTCACAGATCCCTCGTGCTCTCTAAAACAAAGATTTACTCACGGTAGCTAACTGTAAAGGATGGTGGTGAGAATCACCGTTTAAATATCTATCTGTATGGGTCTTTTTTCTATACACAGTATGGCTCAAGGTGTTATCAGGATTCCGAATTACTAACACATCTAGAAAAGCTAAGGAATTGTTTGCCTCTAACTCCATTGTGAACTGAATTTTAGAATTTATAGAGTTAAGGTGGTCTAAAAATGCAGTTACTTTATCTAAAGGTAGAATTGTGAAAGTGTCGTCTACGTACCGCTTGTAGAATCTTGGATTTATGGGAGAACTAAGCAGGGCTTTCTCCTCAAAGTCTTCCATGAATATGTCGGCGACAATGGGAGATACAGGTGAGCCCATCGCCACACCATCTACTTGCTTGTAGAACTCCTCCTTCCACAATAGGTAGCCAGATGTAAGGCAGTGTCTGAGTAATACTGCATATTCTACGGGCATGTTGTTTTCTTCCAGCCTTCTAGTTACAATTGAGATGAAGTCTTCAACAGGTAAGCATGTTAACAATGACTGCACATCAAAACTGACCATAGTTTCATTGTCTGCCAGACGTAGGTCTTTAATCTCGCTGACAAAATGGTAGGAATCCTTTATGTGTGCTCTTGTATGTCCCCTGAGCGGTGGGAGTATTTTCGCTAAGTGTTGAGCCAATCTGTAAGTTGGTGAATCGATTTGGCTCACTATTGGACGTAATATAAAGTTCTGGTTTATTGCGTAGGTTCTTTAACGCTATAAATTCGTCTTTGGGAAGATTCGGTTTAGGCACTGAACATGGACGTAACATAGACGAAATGTCTTGACGTATCGCCTCCAAATCTTCTTTCCGCACATTGTTTTTAAATAAACAGTCCTCGACACTACAGATAATTTCTTCAAATTTATCCAAAGGCCTCAACTTTGCTATTACATCCGCAAATTACCGTACGAAGAAATCGCAAATTCTCGCTAAAGAACACCAATTCCTTCCAAGGATGATTCGCGAGGCTATTGAAATCAAAAAACATCCTAATTTCAATAGAGAAGATGGCTGGTTGCTACCATCTGCTTATGATCCTATAAAAATAAAATTAAATCCCAACCCAAGCATTCAACTGCAAGTCTTCAAGATACCATAAGTTCATACTGTATAGATCGGAACAAACGTTAAATTTTAATCTATGGTAACCGCGGTTAACTATGACATATGGACGTTGAACATCTCAGTCCCGCCCGTGACCATGAGTGCTGTAAAGCGTTCGAAGCATCGGGTATTTAAAAAGCTAAATATACGCGATAAATTCCGTAAAAACTAGTATTATTTCAATGTGTAGTGTTCGCGTAAATATGAGAAATCATTATAAATTGTCATGTTTGTGTACGACAGCGCAAGAAATAAATATTCTACCACATAAATGATAGTGCTTTTATACTGACAATTAAAGCAATTCGTGCAAAATTGTTCCCTAACCATTCCAAAATATCAAAAATGCACAACGTTAATATTTAAGTTTTCACTTCTGTCGGCACTCCCGGAGTGCATCCCGTCGTTTTTTAAAACTAGTCAGTCTTTAGTTTGGCAACATCAGACTCTTCCTGTATGCGAATGTGGGGGCATTCCTTCTTTCTTACATAGGTAGATTTTTCAATATGATGCCCAGCAGTATACATAATTAATGTGTTAACCAATTCTCTAGCCAGAAAAATAGTCGTCTTTCCTTTGCAGTGAGACTTTCTGAAATGAATAAGTGTTTTTTGGCTATTCGTGTCAAATAGACCTGTACTCAATTTATTTCTTTTTTCTTCCAAAGTTAGTTTTTTAAGGTTGTACAACATACTTTCTTTAGTAAGTACTGAATTCAGCTCAACAATACTATAATTTTACCTAATTCTAGTGGATATAAATTCAAAATGACATGAGGTGTATAGTGATGCCAGTGGGAGTTCATATAGGTTGGGATACCATTAAAAATATTATTTTCCCCCGGAAGGTTAAAACTCGTGTGATTCGGTCCGTCAATTCGTGACTACATAGTATAAAAACACAGAGGAGGCGTCAACTTCATATAATTTTGATCGACGGATACTTACAGGTAAGTTGTTGAATTACTGTTTTACAAATGAATACAAATGCCGTGTTGGTAACATCACATTATAACAGTCGTCGTTAGTTAGTCGACTGTAGATATGAAATTTGCGAGAAGGGTATCCTATAATTTCGGTAGTTGTCTGTCCTTAGAATTTGGTGACTTGTATATATATTTGTCAAATAGTGCGAGGGAAAATATCTTCTGTTTTTTTTCTGAGTATGCTAGGACAGCATATATGAGCCACCTAATATAGTACACGAAACACAGCTTGCGTACGACCACCATGTATATGATGGAAATTAAAAATAAAGTCGGTAATTAAGAAAAAAAATTAGTAATTGCTAAATTAAACCTCCTTTTTTTAGATACTGTAAAAATACTCACTTGCTTAAATAATGATAAATAAGTGCATACCTGTTTTACAACACAATTATCAGCGTTTAATTTTTTTAATAAGATCGGCTACAGCGTAATGTTGACCCGGATTATTCTGTTTGTAGCTCCATAACAATCTAGTACGGTTATCCTTCACATTGTAAACTTTTACTTTTATCTGTAACAACAAAATTAACCATATCATGTAATTGTTACTACTACGGCGAGAAAAATAGGCAGGCTGTGAAAGACGTGCTTGGTTATATTATAAAAAATTTACAAGTCCGCGTATGCGTTTCTACCTGCCAAATTCGTTATAAATTTTATCTACACATTTGAGAGGTTCTGATTTTTTCTAAACTTCCGCTTCGGTCGAAACTGTCAACTGTCAGAAGATATATTGTAATATCACTTATCTGTTTTAAACACTTGTGGGAAGACTTCCTGTATACACTTACTTATTTTTACTTTCTCTTTGAAGAATACACAATATATACCTGATATATTCCTTTAGTTCAATCTAATGACAAGAATAAAACTGAGTTATACTGACATTATACTATTTAATGATTACATTTGATTTCCACACTTACCTCATCAATTCGGGCTAATGCGAAAAACGTGCAATCCACATAAGCAACGTAATTGTTGACTTCGTTCATAAGTTTTATAGAGCAAGATGTAATGTTCGTTACTTTTGGATTAATACAATTTTCGTATCTGCTGAACACTAAATCATAAGGGCCCTGTAAAAACGTGACCTGGTAAAAGATACAAGAAGTCGATGGATGCAAATGACTCAGGTCCATTCTTTGGAGGAGGCCTTTGTTCAGCAAGGGAATTGTGATGGGCTGTAACGATAACGATGAACTGTTACATGATATTTATCGCCAAATTTTTAATGTAAAAAATATATTCAAAAAAAATTTGGCATGGTATCTACTTACAATCTAAAATGTTGTTTGAAAGACCAAAATATAATATTAAATTTTTAATAAAATAAAAAATTTAACACTATTTAATTAACAAAATTTTTGTAATAATTGTTACATAATTGTCAAAATCTTGGCTTGACTTTGAATCTATAGATTTTGCTTCAGAAAATAGCTAAATTGCAAGACAAATTTTTAATATTGCTCTAGAGCCGTACATTTTAAAAAATACACTTTATTTTAATAATGTGTTTGTAGGCTTGTGGTACTCGTATATGTGCAACAAGCGAATAGTCGTTTTGCTGTGGTAATCACTATATAATTGTTTTATAGATTCTGATATCATCATTGAGATGATTACAATCGTAGTTCTCATAAATATAATCAGATAATAGCAACAATGTCCATTTAACGTAAATAATATCAGCTTTATTTTATGTGGGACACACTTATAATTTTGCGTAACTTATAAATTTAAACAATTTATATGTAAACTATGTATAAACTGCTTTTCAAATAATTCTCTAATATTTCATAAATTTTTCATTCGTTCTAGCCCATTTTGAAAACAGGTTTGATGCTTTTCACGTGCCAGTTAAAAACTATCACGGCCCCTTCTGACTCCGTAAATATCAAACCTGGTATCAAATTTTTGTTTTTACGGAAAATAAATAAATTGCATGATGTGAGGTCAATCTTTACGATGTAGGAATAAACAAGGCCACGATCAAATACAGCGTACCAACGCTGTACGATGCTCAATTGAAGTGCTTACCTCCCAAATGCATTTTTAAGACGAGCAGTGCAATTATACGGAGATTAAACTTTTAAAATTGATAAAAAATCGTCGCCCTAAAATGTTTTCGCTTGATATTTTTTGCTGCGGATGACGAACTACCACCTGAGACAGTAGATAATTTCAGTGTTCCCTAAGTACAACAATCTTTACAATTCAATACTAAGAATATTTTTATTAAAAGTGAAGTGTATATACAGCTAAAAACGTTTGGCTATTGGCTGGGCACATGCAAGGATACTAGAGCACTATAGATACACGTGCACGTGGTTAATTAACACATAAACATGCAATCAAAATTTTATTTGAGATGGCACCAAGGTTTAGACTCAATTCGTTCATATATCCATACTAATATTATAAATGCGAAAGTGTGTTTGTTTGTTTGTTTGTTTGTCCTTCTTTCACGTCGCAACAGAGCGTCAGCATGGCATGATTTTTTGTATGGGGATAGTTCGGTGGCTGTAGTTGTAGTTCGCGGGAATGAGATGTTTTTCCGCGGAAAAAGTAACCTATGTCACTCTACAGCCACCAAATATGCTGTGAAAAAAATATGCACCAAATTTTACTAAATTTATTGTTTAATTGCCGTGCGTAAAATAGGGTAGGGTAGATATGATTCGCATTATGTCAGCAGTAACGAGGCAGCGTCGCCTCTCCTTGGCTTCCTTTTACACGAAAGGCACCCAACAGTTACTCACCTTGCTGTGCACTTAGAAAATGGAGAGCGTGTATGTTTCACAGAAAGAAATTTCCAAGAAAGAATTACATCACCGCCAAAATCTACACTAATAGCCTTCGTTCAACTTTGTCAAACCGACCCCTTTGCAAAAACGTAGTTATATTCTGAAGTCCCCCGTTATTATACTTGGAACACATCTAAAAAGGAGTGGAAACGCCGTATTCAAGGTGCGCCTTGCGCGCAAATTGGCCCGGTGTAAAGTCATTAGATGTCCTTGGTCGTGTGTATACCACCCATGTAACTAATTTTGAATGTTTCTGTTTACGATTGCTGCTGCACCATGTTCGGGGTCCTACAGGATATAAAGACCTTAAAACTGCCTACGTTCAGGAATGCGCAACAAGAAAAGCATGTGAAGCTTTGCATTTTTTAGAAAACGATAATCACTGGGATGAAACCATGGAGGAAGCTGCGCAGTGCCAGTCACCAGCCAAAATTAGGGATCTTTATGCAACTCTCATATCATCTTGCGGGCTATCTAATACACATGAATTGTGGGACAAATATAAAAAGTACATGGCGGAAGATATTTTGCGAAGGTTATAGCAGACACACGCTAACATGACATACAATGAACACATTTATAATGAAGCACTTGGAAAAATTGAAGATAAAGTAATGGCAATGGTAGGCAAAAATTAAGCGACTTTAGAATGATAAGCCCTCAGCGAACAACCGAAAATGAACTAAGTGATGAAATTATACGTGAAACAAACTACGATATACCAGCTTTGCAGCAGCAAGTAGCCGAATTTGTACCCCGCTTGCTTCCCGAACAAAAACGAGTTTTGACAAAGTATTAGGACAAATTGAATCTGGAAATGGTGCACTTTTCCTTTTAGATGCCCCTGGAGGAACTGGAAAGTCATTTTTGTTAAATTTATTATTAGCGCAAGTACGGAAAGATAAAAACATTGTTGTGGCCGTAGCTTCCTCCGGTATAGCCGCCACGCTGCTAAGTGGGGGCCGCACTGCACATTCTGTTTTAAAACTTCCTCTAAATCTAGCCCAGGAATAATCGCCGATCTGCAACTTTAGGAAAAATAGTGCACTAGGTATATTGCTACGACAATGCAAACTTTTAGTGTGGGACGAAATATGTGGCAAACTTTTAGTGTAGGACGAATATGTGCCCCTGCGCATCTCAACCTCGCCCCAGTAGGCAAGCTCCACCGCCGGTCAATGACCGCTCATTCCCGGCTCTCTATCAACGGCCCCGTCAGGGCCTTTCTCAGCCCATCCAGGGCTTCTCTCGGCCCCCTCAGGGTCCCCCTAGGCCCCCTCAGGGCATTATTCGCCCCCCTCCGGGCTTCTCGAAGCCTATGCAGCCTCCAGTCTTTCCCTGGGGCCCCAATAAGACAGACTCACCGCGGACAACCCCCGCCCCTCAACGACAACAATCACAGCCCACTATTGAAGACCTAAAACGATCTATTCCGCTATTATGAATATCGAAGTCAGTGAAACCGCGGTGTTAGCACGCAAATTGCGCGCTGCGAGGTCCCCTCAGGACCGTCTCCTCGCTCTTACAGAGCATCATAATCTTTTGTGCTCGTTGTAAGTTAAGTTAACTTAATTAACTTAACTTCAATGACAGAGCAGTTTGCTCTACCAAAGTCTCACGGTCGTATCAAACCTAAGGGTTTATCGCTTGTATCTTTTAATATTCGCGGTTTGCGAAATAACCTCCCAGAGCTTAAGCTTTTTCTTCGGAATCGTGAAGCCGATTTCCTCCTCCTACAGGAAACTAATCTCAAAACTAAGGACACTAAAGGCCTTTCTATTAAAAACTTCTCTCTTCTTCGTAATGACAGACCCGACCGCCGAGGCGGCGGAACGGCCATCTATTACAAGAAGACACTTCACTGCTCGCCCATTTCTACTCCGCAGCTTACCAACATGGAAGCCACGGTATGCAGGCTAGCTATGACTGGACATTAATCCATCCTAATAGCGTCCTGTTACATCCCTTCAGGAACCCATCCCCTCAAAAAAGATTTTGAGGCTATTTTATCTTTAGGCAATTCAGTCATTATGTTTGGAAATTTTAACTCCAAGCATACTGAATGGACATGCCGTACTACGTCCCCTAGTGGCAAGATACTGCTCGATATCACGCATCTCTTGATATTACCGTCCATAGTCCCCTCGGTGTTACTTACTTTCCCGATAACACCGATCACGCCCCCGATGAACTAGATTTTGCGTTACTCCAAGGAGTTTCTCTCAACCTCAGAGCAATCGAGACACTAGACGATCTAGGATCCGATCACCGACCGGTCTCCCTTATTCTTGGCCATCAGCCACCTCCCCAAACACACACGAAAACCTTCACTAATTGGAAGGGATTCAAGGAGTCCCTAGCTAAAACTCTGGACGCACAGGACTCTACCATCTCCCTACCGTCGGACTTAGACAGTCCAGAAAAAATCGACACCGCAGTCGATTCACTCTCCACCCTTATTACCCTTACCCTTAAGGAGAACGAAAGGGCCGTCCCGGTTGCTAACAATAGTGGGCTTCCCCTACATATTAGCAACCTATTAACAGCCAAAAAAGCTGCTTTTCGGAGTTTTACACAATTAATTTGCCTTCGTAGGCACTCCCTCAGCAGCTCGTAGCCACCTGCGCCCTCTTTTCCCAAAAGAGGGTCGCTCACGATAAGGCTTAATCAGCCAGTTGCCTGTCCCTAAAGGCGGTTTTTAGAGGGTATCACTTAGGTTCCCCGGTAGGATGTGAGTCCTATGTCAGGATCGTGCCAAATGGAAGTCTGTAGTCTCTGCCTACCCCTCTGGGTGACAGGCGTGAGTGTTTATGTATTTATGTATGTATTTTGTATATTATTTCCTTTTCATCAATTAGTAGCGTCATCATCATCATAATCATTACAGCCCTTCCCAAGTCCACTGCTGAACATATGCCTCCCCCAAGTAATACCACAAAGCACGGTCCTGAGCCACCTGCATCCATCGACTTCCAGCATGTCTTACCAGGTCATCACTCCATCTAGTGGGGGGCAACTACGCCTACCGGTACGAGGCTGCCACACGAGAATCTTTTTTCCCCATCGGTTATCGGTTCTTCGAGCTATATGGCCGGCCCATTGCCACTTCAGCTTACTAATCCGTTGGGCTATGTCAGTTACTTGTGGAAATTGGTCTGTAGTTCTTCAAGAATGCGGTTCTCACTCTGGTTTTACTGCGGATATCCTCATTTCTGAGTCTATCACGCAGAGAAACTCCGAGCATAGCCCTCTCCATAGCTCGCTGAGCGACC